GTATCGATACTGCATGTGTCCTTAGGGTTAGGGTTAGGGAGGGAGATCGAAACCGAGCGAAGCGAGGTGAGATCGACCGTTGAGTCGAGGGTGGGTAGGGCGAGCTGAGTCAACGGGGGCGTTGTGTGCTACAACGACCCGTCCCGTTTCGCCTTTTATAGCTCATCAGGACTCTGCTTAGTGCATCCCTTTCGGGAAGTGCTTATCTCTTTGCCGTCTGTCTATCCGACGGCACAGGAGATAAGGTCAATTATGCTTACGATGCCGAACGCGGCCGGAGCTTTGTTCCGATAATGACTAAGTCCGATCGGACTATGTCATCATGATTACTTACTTACTAATCACCGATCGGACTTAATCTTATCGCAATTCTAAGCGCGTATAGCGCTTAGATAAGATAGTCCGCCCTTATCCTTATCTTATCAAAGATGGAAGAGTGGAGACGCACCTGACTTGATGTCACGTGCTGCTAGACACGTGACTCAAGCGCCCTAGTACGAATGTTAGGGTTTAGGGTTTAGGGTTCCGGTTAGGGTTCGGGTTCGGTTAGGGTTCGGGTTCGGGTTAGCGTTAGGGTTAGCTAATAGAACCAGAGTAAGTAACGACTTCGTTAATACGAGGATTAACTCGTGAAAGAACGTACGGTTAGGGTTTGGGTTAGACCGCCAAACACGACCGCTATGAGGTGCGGCCGTACTTCTTTCTCATAATTGATAAACTTCTGCTAAAGAGGAGTTGTCAAACAAGTCGATATATCGACTGCTTCAAACACATTTAAGGGGGCTATCGTAGCCTCACGCGTATCGCCACCGCCCACTTTGCGACGAGTCGATAGCTGCCGATTTCGGCCAGAATAGATCCGCCTTTCTAGATACAAGGCCAGTTTGTGGGCGCCCTCAGGCTGGGGCCCATCGTCCGCTCACCACAGCTTCCCGAAGTCGGGGGGTATCCCCAAGCGACGTTCCGCCGTCTCCAAGTATCCTCGTCACTAACTGGACCGGATCAGAAGAACACACGCGCGTTAAAGGTGACCGAAGTTTCCAGACACCGTCGGCTTACCACGGCAAGCCCGAAGGCTTACCACGTCTGTCGTCGCGACGACACCTGCCGGCTTGCCTCCGGCCAGGCCCGGTCTTGACGGATAGGTAGTTTCAAACGCCCCTGGCCCGAAGGCCTACCGGCGGGTGATAAGAAACTAAGACCAGTCCGCCCATGGCTGCGAGGCCTCGGTGCGAAGGTTTGCGTGCTACGTATAGACGGTGCGAGGTTTTGCCAGATACGACGGGCCTCTACTCTATAGGGGATCGGCCTATCGTCGCGTCGTACCGCTACGTTTTTCACGGTATTCGGATCCCGAGACCGGAGTCTCAGTGCCGTAAGGGTGGTTTTCCAGGGGCGCCGTAGCTCCCACCTATCCAGGCTTGATCCGCCTCCCAATTTAGCGAGGGGAGGTCCGGGTGTTCTATTCTTAAACATGTTTTACTTAGCCGAAAAACGGCTTGTTCGGGGAAGGCGAACGCTGATGCAGGATGATCACGTCATCAGACTGACCGATGATTCGAGGATTTCCTCCTTGATTTTGCGCTATCCGATCTCGGATGCGTGCCTCTGCTCTCAGGGTAGTGGCTTGTACTTGCGGGGCCGAGGGTCCCGGTTCCGGTTGCCTTGCGGCGTCCGGATCCCGTTCATCAAGTACACGTTCGTCCAACTTCTGGAACACCATTCTTTTCCAAGAACTAGTCAAGTCGAACATGTTTCGTGTACGTTTCCGTGACACGATCATTCGACGGTCGATTAAACTGATTTTCCGCACATCCGGAACATAGACGACCCCGTCGACAGAGTCGCCGTTCTCGTCGACGACCCCATCGAGGGTGGCGAATTTCGTTAGAAACTCGCCCCTGACCTCAGTCAGTCCGGCCATGTCCGGCATGGGCGGAGGGAATTCTGGGTCCGGAGCGGACAGAAGTTCCCCCGACTCGGCTTTTTCATACCAAGTCTTCCAGTAACCGAGAATGGTTTCTCCAAGCTCTTTAGCATTGAACCAATTCCAGGCCGTGTTAAACTCAGACTTAAGGACGAGAACGCCGTCAGCATCCTCCTGCTTTTTCTCATTGAAGCGTTTACTCCAGCGT